GGGACATGTTCCCTGTGACCTACTTTGTCCTAAGCAGGTGCTTTAGGCCGCTGAGCTGTCTTGCCAGACCAACCTGTGCTTCTTAGTATAGCCCAACTCCATAGGTTTGCTCAGGGTTCCCAGCGTGCAGCAGCATTGGTCCAAGCTTCCCAGCTGGGGCCTCCTTCATGATGTCTGCGGCTCCGGCTTCCTCTTGGATCCTTGCCCTCGAACTTCCTGACTGAAGCTATGACAGAGCTCAGGGATTCTGGGTCAGCACTCAAGTCTGCTTGTGTTCTGAGGACCAGCAGGAGTGCAGCAAAGTGCAAGAGAAGACCAGTCTGGTCCAGAGGTGGCCAGAGCTACACGCCAGCTCTCTTAATCCTTCATAGTTGTCCTTTACCTTGGTCAGTAGCATCTTCCTCTTCTCCCTAGCCTACAGGGTAAACAGGGACTAGATAGGGAAGGTGGACTGTCACTTACAAAGGCATGGCACCCCATCTATCTGAGGAAGACCTGGGTTGGGAGGTTTGTGGGCCGACATCACTGTCGGTGGCAGCTGATCATTCATTTGCTCACCGCTGAGTTTACTGTGCACCTGAGATTAGGCTGGGTGCTAAGGCAAAAGAAAAAAAAGAAATACAAAAGGGTAAGATCTGGCCTAGACTTGAGGTAATCAGCTTCTATTGGTTGAATAACTAGAGATAAGTTGCTCGTGAGGGAAGCTCCGTAGTTGAATCTTTCACTGTGGTTTGAAGATGAATGGGATTTTAGGTGGGTAGGCCAGTGGGAACATGAACACACAACGTATTTGGTATTTCTGATCTCCTCATTCTAGGTCTGTCTTAGGCCTATGGGGAGGCAGAAACAGCTCCTCCTTACTGTGTGCAATGAGCCAGACGCTGCTAAATAAATTATCCAAATGCAATGCTTACATCATTCTCCCAGCCCCCTAAGGTGTCAGCTTACCTACCCCCCCTTTTTTTTTCCAGATAGGAAACAAAGGCCCCAAAAGCCTTGAGGAAATGGCCAAAGTTATACAGCCATCAAATGGCAGCAGCGGGACTGACATTGAGCTTGTCTGCTGTTGGGGACTGTGAATTATAAATTGAGTCTAGGGGATGTCCTTGAGCCAGATTGGAAGCTGTGACTCTGCTCTTTTCTGGTCACAGCTGGAAGCCCTAGGGCTCATGGCTGCTGTGACACTCACAGGCAAGATAACACCTGCCAAAGACACCTGGAGAAGCTGCAGTTTCCTGATGGTCCCTGTCTTGTCTTGTTCAGGTCCTTGCAAGAGCACATTGTTCTTCCTAGCCCACCACAGCCGCCACTGCTGTTCCTGGAAATACCTCCTGCCCTTCACTCACTGTCCTTGACTGAGATGGAATAAATAAGTACCAAAATTCTGGGTGACTCGTGGCCTTTTGGTCCCTCCCCATCAGCAGCCTTGGGCACCCCCTAGACTCAGTTTGCTATCTGTGGTTCCCAACAGTCTGCCCTTAAAGCCTAAATTTGACATCTACATGTTAAAATAGACACAGAGAGTAGCCAGATGGTCCTCTGGAGAGTGGTCTGGCATCTCCAGGTGCTGCTCTATGTTTGGAGAGTAAACTCTGTGCTGTGGGACTGACTTAGGCTGAGAGGGCCCAGTGGCTCCAGAACTCCTGTGGCTCCACAACTCTGAACAGAGCCTGGTAACTGAGGCTTCATCTTCCTTTCCTGGCCTCCTCTCGCTGATCTCATCCCCAGCAACAGTCGCTGTCTGAGAGGGGCGTCTGAGGACAGTTTTCTCCAGCACCTCCAGGCAGAAGCTTGGCAGAGGAAACACTTCTCCACCCACTTGGTTTCCTGGTCCGTGATGGCTCTTCCATCTGGCTTATTCATTCATGTATTCATTCAATAAATCATCACTGAGCACCAAATCCCTGACCTACTGTGGGCAAGGTCCTGAAGGCAGCAGGAAATGAAGGTGGGACGGGAGCAAAGACAAGATCACTTACAGAAAAAGAGAACTTCAAGGTAGAACAGAATGAGGGACATGGGAGAGCCACAGATCAAGCCCGATGTGAGTTTGAGGCAGGAGTGGAGAGGGGTAGGCATTGAAGGAAAGTTTCCAGGAGGTGGAGCAGGGCTTTGGAAAGGTGGCGCTGGAAGTGCATAGCGAAGGGGAAGGACATTTCCGGGGTGGAACAGTGTGAGCAGAGGCCTGGAGGCAGGAGTGCAGTGATGTGTGATCCGGAAGGAAGCAGTTCCGCCCAGCAGGGGGCAGTGTGGGAGGTGAGCAAGGGAACCAAGATGGATAGCCAATGGACCAGCGCCTGCACTGTATGTGTCAGTCTCAGGCCAGCGCTCTGCAGTGGGAGGCAGAGAAATGGAGGTAGAGCCAGAAGTCCAGAAGAGTCCTGACCCCGCCCCTGAGGTGCAGGTCTCACTGCACATGCATCTGCCCCACCCGCCACTGCCCACTGCTGTGATTTAATAAGCGCTTAAGTGCTCCAAAAATACATCTCAGGCCAAGTCATTCGCAGACTTCAGAGCCTCAGGGCTGGAAGGGGGTTTCAAGAGCATCACATCTCATGGTTTAAAAAAAGAATCACAGAATCCCCAAGCAGAAAACACACACTGCTCTAGTTAAAGCAGCGTGCGGGAACCTCCCTATTTGATTTACCTGGTTCTCTCTGCAGCAGCTCCTGGAACACTCCTGGGAAATCTGGGACTCGAATTGTGGCTTAAGGGCCAGCCAGATAGCTCAGTGGATTAAAGCACCTGCTTAGGCAGACTTGGGGACTAGGGTTCGATCTCTGACTTGCTATGCCGGCCCTGCCTCCTGGGGCACGCTGAGATGGCAATTGAGACTGGGTGTGGTGGTGTGCACCTGTAACCCCAGTGCTTGGGAAGCTGAAAACAGGAGGATCACTATGAGTCTGATCTGTGTAGTGAGACCCTGTAGCCCCTGTACTAAAAATAAATAAATAAATAAATAAATAAATAAATAAATAAATAAATAGTGGTTTATTAAACAATTGATACAGCTGAGTGTGGTGGCACACCCCTGTAATCCCAACACTCAAGAGGCTGAAGCAGAGGGCCAGGGAGATGGCTCGGTAGAATAAGCACTTCTCTGGAAAGCACAAGGCCCTGGGTTCAATCCCAGGTTCCGCAAAAAAAAAAAAAAAAAAAAAAGAGGTTGAAGCAGAATGATCATTTCAATTTCAAGGCCGACCTGGGCTACAAAGTGAGTTCAAAGCCAGCCTAAACTACACAGTGAGATACTGTCTCAAAAAGACAAAATATTTTTTTTTTAAAATGTTAAAAATAACTGATCCGGCCCACTCTCAGTTTCATTCTACAGATAAGGATGAAGAATATGAAGTCAGTAGGTGAGAATATGAAGTCAGTAGGGGAGATACCAGTGTATTAGGCTGCAGAGAGCACCTGTATTAGGCTGAACCACCTGACTGCTGGTTCAGGGCTCTTGTCTGTCTTGCACATAAGATGGGGGGGGGGGGGCTGGAGGAAGTGTACGTGTGAGGTGGGTGTGGCCTTTCTTATAGCAAAGGCTGCCTGGGATCTGGTGGCTGGCATAGCCTGCAGCACCTGACTCTGTGGCCGGGTGGCAGCCCAGGCTGTGGGGGCTCACTGTGGCTTATCTTGTCCCCAGCCCACTAGAGAGGGATGTAGGGCCAGGTTTTCTTTCAACTAATACATATTGAAAGTGGATATGTGGCCAGCAAAACTTATGGGGCTTTTAGTTCAATCCCCGGTACTGCAAAACAACAACAACAAAACCCCACCTTACAGAGCTTTTAATCCCAGAGCTTGAGTGAAGGAAGGAGGGAGGCTGGGGGTGTGTGTATGTGTGTGTGTGTGTGTGAGAGAGAGAGAGAGAGAGAGAGAGAGAGAGAGAGAGAGAGATGGCAGGCTGCCAGAGGAAAAAAGTGAAAGGCAGAGACTGGGGGCAGGCCTTTGAATTATTACCCAGTAATTGTTCCGTTACAATGCGCATCTCACTTGAGGAAGTAAGAGCCACAGGAGAGGGCCTCCGGGAGCTGCAGCACCTGGCCCAGCACTGGCTGCAAGCAGTCAGAAGGCAGGTGGTAAGGTAGGTGCCTTGTAGATGCTTGCGTGTGCATCTAGTAAGGAAGGTGTGCTGGTGACTTTGTTTCTGGGTGAGTTGGTCTCAGCCAACGCCAGAGGCTCTTTACAGCCAACATCTCACTTCCTGTGCTCCTGCAAAAGGGAAAAACACCAACAAAAACCTTGGCAAGGTCTTAGAGGAAAGCAGTAGACTTGGGAGCCATCCTCGCCCGGCGGGGCCTCAGCAACCCTGATGTGTGCAATCAGTCCCAGCCTTCCCCCTCAAATCCTCCTGGCCCTGCATGGGCTCCACCAGGTGAGGTGGCCCCCGGGTCCCCTGCACTGACAGTTCCAGGAAACAGAATCATTCTGATCACTGGCAATGGCAGCAGCCACTCATGTGGGCCCTGGGAAACTCTGGGATCAGTGCCCAGCTCAGTATAGAACAAAGATATCTGAGCTCAAAACTCAGTCTCATCATAAGGGTTTGGACAGATTTCTCCAGTCTCTTGCAAGAAAATTGGGCTGCTCTTCCTTCTCCCTGACAGCCTGCCTTCCTCTCATCTGGATGGGAATATACACAACCCATGCCACATGCTGTGACATAAACACGAAGCCTCTCAAAAACTCATGGCTCCTAAGACACGCACCTAGCTCAGTCAGCGCTTTCCCTGCCAAATGTCCCAGACACACTTGCATCTGAGTGCCCAATGTGCAGACACTGTGGGAGGCTGAGACAGACAGAAGATGCTCCTCAGGGGCTTGGAACAAGTGGGTTTCAGACAAGGCATATGCTACTGTCTCCGCCCCTGACATTACAAGCACAGCTTCCCATCAGTCACCACAATTCTAGGAGCCGACTCCAGCTGCTAAAAGGGGTTACTTCTGCCCTGTAAGCACTCTGATGATAATTTCACCCTCCATCCAGCAGACCTGGCATCAGACACAACACAGGGGTGGTGACAGGGCTGGAAAAGCAGATCCATTTTATTTACAACGATCAGTTGGTGACATGTAGATCTTTGGACTTTTGGTGACCTTGTGGAGACTCCTGGGCTGGGGCCCACTCCCTCTTGGGCGAACACCCCTTCTTCCTCATCCTGCTCTGTGAATCCAGCTTCTGTCAAGACCCACTTGCCCCAGAGCCTGGCTTGATTCAGGGCACCTCTGCTGGGGGCAGCTGTGTCTCCACACAGCTGCTGATGGTTCCCTTTTTCCTCTGGAGGCCCATCTTGGTCCTGCTTGTGGGACACCTAGAGTGGCCCATACTTATCTGTCTGCAGAGGGGGTGATGAGGAATCCTGTGGGAGTACAAGGCCCAGGCTGGTGCAGAGCTGTTACCCACCCAATTTATCCTTTGAATGTCAGTTCACACCATCCTAGTCTCCAGAGGCAGAACAGTGAAGTCCCAGGAGTCCTCTGGACAGATAGAGACTGGGCAGAGTCCAGGATTCTTTCCTATGTTTATCACTCAGACTCAGGCACCTAGCCTCAATTCTCCCAGCCCCTGGATTCTGCTCCTACAACAAGGCCTCTCTGGGTGGTTCTTATTATAAGAAGACTAGAAGACTAGAGGGAAACAGCGGAGGCCACTGACTCCTCCCGGGCCGAGGTTCAAACCCACCCTCCTGGATTTCTGGAAACTTCTCTCGGTTCTCCTGAGAGGATGTTTTGGGAAGAAGCGGGGAAGTGGGTAGACAAAAAGACGTAGTGCAAAGCACAGGGACACGTCCACAATGGTGGGCCCAGAAACCTCTGGGCATGGAGAGAGGGGACTCCCCCCCCATAATCAAGGGCATGTCAGGTGTCACCCTGAGCCAGGACGAGGAATGAGGAGATCACAACTGAGACCACGAGGGAGGCGGGGTCGGGGACCAGGGAAGCCGCAGCGGCAGCCAGGTCGGAGGCTGTCAGTTCAGCGTGCCTGTCCCGCGCGCTCCCGGGGGCCGCCTTTCCAGCGGCCGGACTGCGCAGGAGGTGGCGGCGCCTGAGCGCCCCGCAGGCTGCACGTCCTCAGCTCCAGCGCCAGGCTCAGCACCTCCGGCCGCTCGCGCTGAGGGGCTCCTCCCTCTCGCTCCTCCGCGGCCTCCTCCCCCTCCTCCTCCTCATCTTCATCTTCCTCCTGGATGCTACTGAGGCGCGGCGCTCCGCGGCTGCGCTCCGTCGGCGGCGGCCGGTAGGCACACTTGGCGTTGAGCAGGCGGCGCAGCGGGGCGCGGGGCACCGAGGCGGCTGCCCCGCCGGCGCGGAGGTGCTGTTGGCGCACGTGGCGCGCGTCGCTCTGGCGCTGCAGCCGCTTGAAGTCGCTGAAGGCCGCCAGCGCGGTCTGGCGGAGCAGGCGGGCCAGGGCGCGCGCCTTGTGCGCCCGCGCCAGCAGCACAGCGTGGCAGCGCAGCACCACGGCCTTGTGGCGCGCCTGGTGGCGGTAGACCCAGGCAAAGACGCGCGGGTGGCGCCCGTCCGCCGCGCAGTAGGTGATGCGCGGCAGCAGGTAGGCATGAGCCGGCCTGCGGCCCCCAGAGCCCCCCGTGGCGCCGCGCTCGCACGGCTGCATGCGGATGCCGTGCGGGCCCAGCGTCAGCTTCATCTTGGTGCCCCCGCCCGGCCCGCAGCGCGCCCAGATCTTGCCCACCGCGTCGTCGGTGCAGCCGTCGCCCTTGGCGTGCAGGGTGACGGCGTTGCCCAGGTACCAAACGGTGTAGGTCGGGTCCTCCTTGTTCAGCTCCACTTTCTGGCGCCGGCTGCGGAATACGCGGCCCAGGCGCTCCAGCGGCCAGTCGGGCAGCAGGTCCGGGCAGGAGCGCAGGAAGCTGGAGAGGAGCGACGTGTAGGCGAGCCCCGGGCTCAGGCTTTTCGCCTTGCACTTGGCCTCATCCTCCACCAGCACGAATTTGTTCCGTCTCCAGGGCAGCATCGCGGCGGCCGAAGGGCCCGGGGCGCCGGGGGCTCGAGAGCGTCCTATCAGGCGGCTGGGGGAGCGGGAGGGATGCAGAAGTCCCCCAGCCGGAGTCGCGAGAAGCTGGGCGGCGCCGCGACAGTCGGTGCAGGAGATGCCCAGTGCCGGGCGGGGCTATCGTCCCAGATGCCCGGTGCCCTGCCGGGCTGGCCGCCGAGATGTCCGGGCGGCCAGGAATAGCTTCCCCTGGGAGTGGTTCCAGCCGTCTGGGGAGCAGGGAGAGGCAGAGGATGGGGGTTGCAGGCGCCCTACACCCCCGGACCAGATAGAGGGATTCTCGCGGTCCCCGCCGCCAAATTGCGGCGGCAGGGAGGTCGCCGGAGCCAAGGCTGGAGACTGCTCGCGAGGGTAGATTCAGAGCGCGGCTGCGGTGGGGACTCCAGGCGTCGCGGCTCCACCTCCCCGGGCTGGCTACATCACCGGGAGGGACGCTAGTTCTCTTGTCCCCTCCCCTTGCTCCTTCTCTTCCCGCCCCGCGCAGGCTCGCGCTGCCCTGAGACCCAGCACAGGCGCGGTGAAAGCTGTTTAATCCTTATTATTGGAGGTGACGGGTAGAGGGGCGGGCAGTTAGGAGTACGGATACTGTAGCCCGAAATGTTCCGGAGGGCTTTGCCAGTGCAAATTCCTCTTTAGTGGGCTGCCACTCCCGCTTCTTGACTCATTCAGGAACTACCCTCTCCCTCTTCTAGGATTCCTGTTGCCCCTCACCCACAGCTGGTTGCCCCTACACCCATTTCTGAGAGTAGAATCAGGGTGGGTTCCTGATAGGGCCAGCCTGATGCACTTTGTCTCCTGTCTGAACAGCACAAAGCTTGCTGAGGTGGCCGAACAGTGCAGTGGAAAAGTACTGTGGCTTGGTGAAGCTTTCTCCCAGGTTCCTCCAAGGTCGTGGGTGAGGCCCTGCGCCTGAGCTGGGAGCCAAGCCACTGCTCCAGGGGCCGGTCACCTGGAGAGAACCAGGGAGGATACTCTTTGAGGAGGGGCTTCCAGCGCAGCGCGGGTTTTGTGAGGATTGCAGGTGAAATGGGCCTTCTGGCCAAACTTTGGTCTCTGGGCTTTCTGAAGATTATTTGTGAACGCCTTTTGTGCTTCCAGGTGTTTAACATTATGTATCTCACTTAATCTTTGGGACAACCCAGCCTCAGTTAAATGACTGGTCCACGATCACAAAGCTAGTAGCAGGTAGATCTGAATCCAGGGTCCCCTTCTGACACATGTGATGGCGTCCCCACTGGTCTGTGTGCCCCTCATCTGCTGCCTGTGGATGGGGCCTTTGCCGTCCTCCTCCAGGCTCAGAGAAAGTAACTAGCTTTTGGGGGGTTCTACTGTACTGAAAGACAGTTATCTCTGGGTGTGGGGAACTCACTTGTTTCCCTTGCAGAGTATTAAATCACTACCTCCTGTCTCCTCCCTTGATATTCCAAGAACAGCTTCCCAGCAGCTACCACCACCATCTCAATTCTGGGAGGTGACTCCAGCTGCTAAAAGGGGTTACTTCTTCCCTTTGGCATTCTGATGATAATGTCACCCCCACCCAGCAGGCCTGGCATCAAACACAACACAGGGGTGGTGACTGGCCTAAAAAACAGATCCATTTTATTTACAGTGATGAGGCTGGGTGCGGAGTAAGCTCAGGTCTGAGCAGGGGCTGAGTCCAGAGATAAGCCGAACCCTATGAAATCTGAGTAGGGGACAGTGATGAAATGGGGTGCTCCTCTGGAGGCTGAGGCAGGAAGATCATTAGGAGGGTATTCGAGAACAGCCTGGGCTACAAAGTGAGCTCAAGGCCAGCATGAACTGCATAGCAAGACACTGTCTCAAAAAAAAAAAAAAAAAAAAAAAGCTGGGGTGCTCATTTGGGCCCACAGACATGGGTGGTAAGTGCCTGAGTTCATAATTGCTGGGGGGGGGGAAAGTAAAACAACAAACCACAAAAGGGGTACTGAATGCTTTTAAAATAATATGCGCATAAAGAACAGGAAATTACCTAGTATTACAGAATCTTGCTTCGGAGGTACGCTGCTTAGGTCCACCATAGATGAGCTTTATTTTCAGGATGGTAATGTCTTTCTTGCTTTTTACTGATTATAAAAATAATACGTGCTTGCGGTACAAATTCATACAAGAGGAGCAGAGAAGTCTCCCACTGTTCCCACCCGAGATGTGGCCTCATTTGCAGAGAGAGGCTAATAAGCTCATGCAAGAAGCCAAGGGTCATTGGAGTGTATTTTCGTAGGGCCAGATTTGCCTCCTGGGCCAAAAGAGATACCAACCCAACCAAATCCCTTTATAGAAAGGACTCTATGTGGGTTTGACCTGCAGTTCTGCACTGAAAACTTCTGCTGGGTTCTGCCTTGGCATTCCTGCGGTCACTGTCTTGCCCTTGCTTGACCTTCCTGACCCCAAACGCAAGGAGTAGTGGGAGAGGTCAGAGGCCAAAAGCCTCACTTGCAAGGTGGAGAAAGACTCCATGTGTGAACACATAAAGAGACAATTAAATTTGAATTTCAGGTAAACAATTTTTGAACGTGTAAAAGGGGCCAAGCATTGCCTGCATGTTTTCTGGCAATTCTGGTTTGGTTTTATTTTGTTAGGTTTTGAGACAGTCTCATTGCATAGTTTAGGCTGGCCTGAAATTTGCAATGGTCTCCTGAACACTGGGACTAGTGCCTATGTCAGTGCAATAGTTTTTTTTTTTTAATTTTATTTGTGTGTGTGTGTGTGTGTGTGTGTGTGTGTGTGTGTGTGTGGCCAGCTCAGCCCACCAGGGGGCGGGGCTGGCTGGCATGTGGTGCTGGGGGATTGAACCGCGGTCCCTGTGCTTTGCTAAGCTTGTTCTAAGTAGGTGCTTTAGACCACTGAACCATCTCACCAGCCCATGTTTTTGTTAAGCTCTCTAGACCAGTAAAGCAACTTTTGTTGTATTGTAAACCTTTTTATCCATCACTTTAATACGAACTCATTTGCCATGTGGAAGGAAGGGGAAAAAAAAATAAATTCTTTATCTTCCCCAGATTCTCTCCGGAGTTCTCAAAGGTAGTAAATGTGGAATGGCTTGGATAACTGTACTGCTGATTTCTGTTTGTTTTTTTGTATTTAGTGCAGGGTCTACAGGGTCCCACTACACAGACCAGACTTGTAGTGATCTTCCTGTTTTCAGCCTCCTCAATGCTGGGATTACAGGCGCAGGCCACCATGCCCAGTCTCAGTCACAGTCTCAGGGTGTCCCATGGGCTGGGCTGGGACTGGCACGGTGTACTGCTGATTTCTACTGGTCTGTTGAAAGAAATAGTTAATGCTTAAAATATCTTCTCCTTCTTTTAATTTTTTGACCAATTTTGCATGGGTATATCTGTAATCTGATTTGAAGACAACAATATGTATTAAAACTGATAGATAGGTTCTGGCCCTAGTATGAAATGCTGAATTATTATGGTGGTCATCTATCTAATATGGCTGAAGCCCTTAAAACAACAGTCTATCTTCCCCAAGACCACCTCCCTGCTTCTTCTCCAACTCAGCCCAGGGTGTCATTTCCTTTTACCCTTCCCACCGCCTCAGGGAAGATCCCAATCAGCTCCTCAGGTCTATCTAAACATCCCCCTCCAACTCTACCCTTGGCAAAGGCTATAAAAGCCTCAGCCTCCCTTTGTTCAGACTCAGAGAATTCCTTATCTTCCCCAGATTTTCTCCAGAGTCTTCAAAAATAGTAAAGACCCTTTTCCTTTTTTTTTTTTTAGGTGACTTAGATGTAGTTGCTGCTCCATGCTTCCCTTTTCCCTTCTGCCTGTTTCTCTGCTGCCTGAAAACCTATCAATAACAACCATTGTTGAATTCCTATTGTATTGTTTAGTGAACTTTTGTATCATTTCTAATGTCTTTTCTTATGACTACTTTTTTTTATTCTCAAAAACAAACAAACAAGAGGGCCGGCCAAAGAACTCAGCAGATTAAAGAGCCTGCAAGCAGGCCTGGGGTCCAGGGGTTGGCTCCCCGGGCCTGCCATGCTGGCCCCACCCCAGGGGCGCACTAAGATAGTGACTGAGACTGGGCTTGGTGGCGCGCACCTGTAATCCTGGTTCTGGGGAGACTGTAAACAGGTGGATCACTACAAGCCCAGTCTAGTAGTGAGACCCTGAACACCCTGCAGACCCTTCCCTAAAATACAAACAAACAAACAAACAAATGCATCTGGCCTCCTGTGCCTGGTTCCCCTCTCCCTTTCTTCAGTGTACCCGTCTCCTCCAGGACCTCTCTCACACCCCTTTTCTGTCAACCCAAGGAGCACTCCAGGCTTGTGTCACGTCCTCACCGCTTTGCAGACTGGCTTGCAGTCAGGTTGTTTGTAATTTAATATTTATTTTCATCATATATGTACTGATATTAGGCTTAAGAGTCAAACTGCTAGTTTATAGTAGGCTTCTAATTAAAAAATCCAAACAAGCTCTTAATCCACCCTTCATCCTAATTTTTATTTCTAAAGACAATCGTCACTTATTTTTACGTGGTTTAGCTGTCATTCCTGTTACATGCGTCTATACTTCTAAGTGAAACCTCTAATTCAGATTTTCCAGTGATATATATATATATATATATATATATATAATATTATATTTAATTTATGTATTTAGTACAGGATCTTGCTATGCAGCTTGGACTTGTAGTGATCCTGCTGTTTTCAGTCTCCCAGGGCTGGGATTACAGGCATGTGCTGCCACACCAGGCCACTATGCCCTGGTTTTAGTGGCAGGGCTCAGTGGGCCCAGGGAGGGGCTGGGGCAGCATGCTGTACCAGGATCAAACCTGGGTCCCTGTGCTTGCCAGGCAGGTGCTTAGACCACTGAGCTATCTCCCTGGCCCAAATTTCCCAGTTTTAAAAATGATTAGTTATTACCTCCCTATTTTTGGGGGGAGTGGGGCAACTGAGGATTGAACTCAGGACCTGGTGCTTGCCAGGCTGGCACTGTGCTGCTGAGCTGTATCCCTGGCCCTTGCCTCCCTATTTAGAAGGTAAGAATTATTGCTCTTTTATCTATCTCCCTTTCCCTCCTAGTTAATTACAATTTTTGTTGTTAGCAATATTCAGTGTCTACTATGACTCAGTAAATAGTGCTCAAAGTTGGGTCCTGAAGTGGGCTATGATTCAGTTTCCCTTATTATAGACCTGTTTCCCACCCCCTCCCCCCAAGTTAGTCATTGCCTCTGGGTTTTTTTGCGGAACTGGGGATTGAACTCAGACCCTTGCACTTGCCAGGGAAGTGCTTACTCTACTGAGCCATCTCTCTGGCCCCGTAATGCCTCGGGTTTTAAAACAAATCTTCCTTATTCACCCATCATTAATTCATTTTCTAGTTGTCTGACAGAACCCTAAAACTCCTTTTGAACTAGTTGGGCACATGGTTGGGAGCACACAGTATGATGACAAAGACCTTTGTGGCTCTTTGTGCTTCTTGGAGTCCTCCCTCCTGCAGGTGTCCT